AAGGCTAAGTTAATAAAAGCAAAATATTCAATAAACATGAAAAATAGGAAATTGTGCAAAAGAGTATATATCTCTGAAGTGAAGGTGTTTTTTAAAAAGATTTTAAAAAGTTGTATTACGCAATAGCTTTTTTTTCATTCAGATTACTACCAGTGTTTCTCAATTTTAATTTTATCATGAGACAGACCATGCTTAGTCTCATGTTTTATTTATTAAGTATCCTAAGAATGTCTTCTGAGATGAAACAGATTTTAAACTGTCACGTTTAACAACTGATCACGATGCATATACCACGCAACTTCCCTAAAACTGCTCCGAGTTGCGTAAGATGAATTTTATTTTTCAATATTTAGCTAACACTCTGTCTGCTTTGTGGGAATTTGGTCTAAGCTGTTCCCAGTGAGAATTCTAATAATAATTTGTTGTCGTTTTAAAGATCTTTAAGCTGGAATTTAAGACGCCACGAAGGAACAGGCATTTGACAATAACTACTAAAATATACAAATTAAAGATTTCTACTTAAAGCATAACATTTTTGCTATGGCAATTTGAATTACCAAGGAAGAGGTATGTATCTATTTTAATGCGCAAAGGATTTGGGACTTGCAATATTTCGCATTAAAATAGATACATGCCTTTTCCTTGGTAAATCAAATGTCTTAATATTTACCTGAAATAAGAAAAGGAAATTGATTAGGAAGATATATCATTAGGACCTCGTTTTCTGTCCGTAATTCGATTAATAATCAAAGGAACTCTATCTCAGTAGAAGTCTTCATTTTCTGACTTTTATCTTTTCTAAAAGCAAATTATTCTAGGTTATTAATCAATATTTTTTAGGTAGAGATTCATTTACTTTCCGCCGGATGTGTCTTTCCGTTTGCGGTGTATCCAAGAAAAATGAATTACTTTGAAGAATTTCCACAACGCAGGCGAAAATAGAAAGCTTTAGACAAGACATTTCCTTTTCAGACTTCTAAGAAAGCCAATAAAGAATCAATAAAAAATGGATTACAGTATAAACTCAGTGTCTGCTTCCTAATCTTTATCTTAAATGTTACCCATTTAAAGTCTCCGATAATATTAATTCACATTTCTATTCTATTCTATATTTGGTTTTCTTTTGATGCTTTTCTATCCAATTTACATTTGAATGAAATTTTCTCTTCTTCAATATTTAATCCTTGTCGTGTTCGTCATAACGAACTGAAATGACCCGTATGCTGCTACCTGGATCCTTTCCATCCCCTACCTATAATCAGTGTTATTCTCTTTTTCTAAGGTCGGTAACATTGTACTTTTGCCAGCTAAAAATGGGGCTTAATAACTGTAAAATATTTCAAGAGTTTATATTTTATTTGACACTTTATATTTTTCTCATGAATACAGCATCCATTATTTTTAATTACAGAAAGTCCATATATACACTGTACACATTTCAACAAATTCGAAAATACAAAAAAAACAACAAGGTACAGGGGGGATTATTGGGGGATTTTATTTAGGAATTTTGACTGGTTTTCTAATCTGACAGCTTTTCATGTTTCATATGATAATGATCACACTTCTTTTTCTTGTTTTATATTCAATCAACCCTTTACTACAGTATTTGATGACTTGTGCTGTTACAAAGTCGTTCAGTGTAGGTACTATCAATTCTATTTCAATCTGGGTCATTATTATGCATTCTCCTTGTGATATCATATCCCAGAGACCTCTCATCAAATGAATAAGGAATTTTTATTTGATTACCCGTTATTTTTTCCCCCATAAACAGGTGTCAAATCGCTTTTATTCATTCATGCAATAGGCTGATAATGGCTCTAAAATGAAGAAATACAAGATAATAATTGCACGGTGAACTAAATGACTTGTATTCTTTCATAATGTATAACTTGAGAATGTCATTATTTCAAAGTATTACCGTCCCAGTATATAGAGTATAATGGTTTTTATTCGAGTTGTACATTGTGTTTTTAGGATCTTGTAAATTATGATATCTCATTAAACGCGGAAACTTGCACAAACCGTTTTTTGAACATCATTCACACACAGCACTAACAAACATTCAAAATTTCTCGGATCATCTGATTTTAATCAAAAATGATCATCTGGAAAACAAAGTTTTCATAAATTTTTAACCAAACTAGCAGATGTATACAAAAACATACCAAATTGCAATCCAAAGACGTGTACATATAGTCTTGCCCATCCGAGCCCTACCCTTTTTCCGATAAACTTGTGGAAAATAAGTGATAGACAGATGTATAGATGAAGATAAGAACTACATTTTACATAGATTTACGAGTAGGAGTCTAAAGCAGCAAAATTCTGACTGCTATGTTCTACATTTTTAAGCGGATCAATTAACTTCCGAGTATTGCGGGGTTTATTGATGAAACACTTAGTAAAACTTTAACTTCTTTCGTCCAAATATGTTACTTTTATCTCACATGGACCAAAGGCTAAAGTAAGACCAAATGATCAAATGAGCTTTACTGATAGAAATTTGCAAATTGTTGGTATTTTTCATCGCGTAGTTTACTTTTTTACATTTTGTCTTCTTCTAAAGAACCACTGTGCTAATTTTAATCAAATTTAGCACAACGTACTAGTATCTTTGGGTTTAGATTTCAATCTATTCAACTGAAGTGTTATTATCCTTTTCAATGGGAAGATTAGGGAGGGTCATTTCAATATTCTCAATCAAGAACCCATGAAATTTATATGAAAGCTTTCTGGCATAGTGTGCGTGTAGATTTATTGTTATTCAAATCATGACGACAGGGAGAAAGAACAATTTTTTACATGTGCTTTTTAGGGCAAATTCTTTAAAAAAAAAATTCTCAAGAACAGCAAGGTGATGATTTGTCGTATTAATATGTAAGTATTCTTAGGCAGTCATGCAGATTAAAATAAGTTTAAATCAAGATTTCTTACACGCTGTTCTTTAATAAAGATTTTTTTCTTAAAAGATTCATATAATATATATCCTTTTAAAACATGTTCCCTTATTATGAACCCGGGGGTCATGATGAAATATGAAGATAACGAACAGTTATCAAGCTCAAAAATCCATTGAAACAATATAAATTTAGAACAGAGCAAATATGGACCTCTAAAAGCATCAGAGGTGGGATCAAGTGCCATTGAGGAGTAGGCATTCCCTGTGGACAGATCACACCCGCCGTGTGCTCCTTATCATGACCAGGCAGATGGAAAAATCCGTAGACAATACAATGTGAAAATAGTGGCCTGCTTTTTAACAATTTGTAGGAAAAACGACAGTCAATATTCGACTTAATGATAGATTGTGCTTGCTGACAAGGTCATTGAATCGACCATAGATTTTCCGAAATGTTGTCTTTATATATGAGACTGTTGATATTCTTGTTTCAATTTATTTGTCAATAGCTTGCCTCGTTTTAGAGATTGTTCGTACGTATCGAATCAACAGGGAGATATAAACTCCGTGTACAGGATTTTGTTTTGTTTCTTTGTTTGTTCAACGTCCCTTTGAGAATTTTTCACTTATATTGAGATTCCATCACTTGCCGGTGGAGGGCTGCAAATTTAGACCTGTACTCGCCACTTACGGTCTTTGAGCAGTGAGGGATCTTTTTCGTGCTGGCACCTACTGCGACACGGGACCTCCATTTATACGGTCTCATCCGAAGGAAGTTGAAGATAGAAAAGTTGAAGTCATCACGTTTACTTTTAAGTTTTGTTGTCAGGTTATCAGTATTATTAACGTCTTTTTTCTAGTAAAATATCCAAATATGAAACAGGTATGTCAAACTCAATGGTATCTTTTATTTCGAGTTCAAAAAGGATATATCGAATAAGCGTAAGAATACAAACGAATATTGTTAATTGATAAAATATCGTATATCTAAATGTTGAAGGCCAAAGCAAGAGACTTCTTCTTTTCGTGTATATTCTGCTTCATACGAATACAAAAATAACAGGTTGAAAATTTAAAATATATGCAATGTGTCAGAAAGCTTTGACGTAAGTTACATTTTATATGGACCAGTGGTTCTGGACAGAAGATTTTAAAATGAACTTATCAATTTTGTCCCTTCTTGATTATTTCTCCTCGGAAAGGGGCATTTTATTGAAAGAATTGGTACTGAGCAACAGGTGATGATCAAAATATTTTTTTAGTTCTTATTGTCTGAATATAACCAATGTCTTTGTAAAGTATTATTTCAGTAGAATTTCCATTCTCTTAACGTATTCAAAATAAGAGTGATTTCGAATGAAAATGTTAATTCATATTGATTTTCTGTCATTACGATTATTAAATTTTTATCATGGAAGAAGAAACTGAAAAGTCAAATGTATATTTCAAAATTTAATCAATATCTGCACATACAGAAGAACATTTGCATACTGTTTTGTGGAATAAACCAGATTTGGGAAGATATTTTCTGTAACACGATTAGGTATGCGTTACTGTAACTCATAGGGTAGTGTCACGAGAACTCGCATTTTTATTGTATTTCAACGTCGAACAAAGAAAGCCAGTATATATCTCACAGAGATTTCCGTCTATCGACCCTTCTGGTTGATGAATTTGGCGTGTAAATCGATTAGTTTACTGGTATTTCACAAGCTTTAGAAGACCTTCAAACAAAGTTGTTCTGTCTTTGTTAGGTCCAATCCTGACCTATTATTGCAACAGTGTTAGCAACTGACAAGAATACATTATTCATTTGCACCAAAACTCTGCCTCTTTAGTCGAGATCAAAAAATTTTATCTGCAAATTTTGTCCGCAAATCTAATCAATACCGCGGGGAGAAGAAATGTTAAAATAAACACAACTGCAAGTGGTTTTGAGATTCCAAAATCTTAATCTGCATCTTAAAAAATAAGTTGACTCATGAAGTAAATATTCAATCAGTAACTATGCTATTTTTACCATTTTGAAGGTGAACAAATCCTGGAAATCGATCTGTAGAGTAATGACGTCACTCGTTAAGAAATGTTCATGATCGGTCCGATGTAGAGAATTGCTCTTATCCCAATGTCATTCAAATGCAGACTATGTAAAGATTCCTGTCTTAAGATATATAGATTGTTACTTTGAGATGCTTGTAAGATACAGCATTGTCCATGCCGATTTCGAGCAGTATTGAATATTTCTTCCCAAGAGGATTATGTGTTATACATGAATATTGGTAACTAGTTTGTAATGGCTTCGGACGCAAGTAAAACAGGTCTGAGGGTGATTCAAAATGCTCCAAGAAATCAAAACGATGACAATACTAAAGATAAAATTAATGTTGCTTTGGAATATGATGAATCCTCTATTCATAAGGTAAGGTAAAAGTAAATGAAAAGTGCAAACTAAAGAGTTTTAATTAACATGGAGTAATTGCTCATACAATTAGCTATATGTAATTGTGAATCTTTGGACATCTGTTTGTGCAATGAAATACTAGTATATAGAAAGATATAGGCATTTCATTCTGAGCAAAATAAAAAAATGTTGTGTATATTAAAATCCTGTTATATCTGCCAAAATGATATGCTGTTGATTGATTTTAATTTTACTATTCTCAAGAAAATTCTGAAAGAAAAAAATGAGAGAATGTGTTTAATAAAATTACTGAGTTTTGTCTTATGCAATTTAAAACTCATCGACAATTGCTTGAAGATATAATTACAACGATAAACTTTGTAAAGTCTTGATACGGCTTATCATCGATTATGCAAAAGGTGTATGGAAATAACAGCAGCTTTAGTGCATAATGCTCCTGACATCCTTAAAAGAAAGGTATTCTCCCCATACTCCAACAAACTTTAAGACATTGATATGAATACTGTATATGTATTTGAAATGTGCAACATTTATGAATAACTATCATATATACATGTAAAACATAACTTCAGGAGAAAAGTTGTTCACTATAAAGAATTTAGAGCAATGAGGAACTGGATAATATGCTTTGAAAAAATCGTTCATTTACATGCGAATACTGGGAATGGTCAATAATGGTTTTACCATGTAAATTTTGATAAGGGGTCCCCGTTAGAGATAAGGATATAATCTTTGTATGATCAAGAGCAAGAAGTCTCTTTCCTGTTTTAGTTCAGTCTGAACGCCTACCTTCCTTTACATCTGGAATACCATTATCACTCCTCAAGCCTATTCCGATGTATTTCTGCTCAAATCAGCCTGTTTCCATTAGAAACAATGACTTGATATTTCTTGTCGATATTTCAATGTTTTCTGGGGAGAACATTCTATCTACATTTCTACAAAATATACTTGCATTATAATAATGAAAAGAGACTGCCGAGAATTCCAAGATCCCATAATGAGATTGCTCACATAAAGGTCTAAATTGCGAACGCAGGACATGAGCAGTCCTTTAGTTTCCCATTTCGCCTCCTTCCGTTGATTTTATCGACAAAAGGCAATTTTTGCGGCTTTTTAATGATTGAATCAGAAACGATAAGTGGCTTTCGTGAGCGCCTAGACAGTCATTCAGATGCATGGAGAATGGCAAGGATGCAGAGCAGGAAAAAAACTCTAATTAATTACTCTGCATTTTGGACGTGTAACGGTTATTGCAATATTCGGTTTTATGTAGACATTATCTAGATCCTTCCCATTCCATTGGCATTAATGATTCATTGGATTTTATATCAATGGTTAACGTAGTCCTAATAACAAACTATACAGACATTGTATCGAGTAGAACTATAATTGTTGTGTATTGCAGCACATCTTATCTAGCTTTATCCAAAAAACAGAAACTCTAATTGAGCTGGTGGCTTACATGATAGATTACATTATTAATAATATAACATGACTTTATATCAATATTGAAAGATCTAATTCACTTACCATTCCTAATAATTGTATTTATTAATTTATTACTTCCATCCAATTTTAACTTCAGACATTCAAATATTGCATCTGTATGTTAATTATCAAGGTGGGTGGATTTGTTGCAAACTTAAGTTAATATCACGTCAAAATTTAAAGCTTGTGTAAAGAAGAGAAAATATAGATATTTACAATAAAAACGAACTGAAAGCATTTATTGTCCAGCATTAACGCTAATATGTTCAAAGTTGTATCCTTGTATAGACTGCAAAAGGCTGCATCTTAAAATACAAGATGTACTTCGTGTTTTATTTTCTTTCACTATTAATGGATTTTTCTCAATCCAGAAGAAAAAAAAATCAAGTCATATTTAAAGAACTACGCACGCTAAATCTTAATTCCCTCCTACAAGTACATTTACACCTATTTAATGCAATAGAAGTGACAATTTGGACATTAAAACTTTTTGAATGCAAAGGAAGTTCAATAGTAATTGATTAATAATTTCAATGCCAGTGTCAAATAGCTAATTGCTCTTTATTACACTCCTTTTGCAAGGGAATAGTCATTGATTGATTGTATATTGTTTTACGTCTCATTGGCGAATTTTTCACTCATATGAGACGTCAACATATATCTGTGAAGAGCTTCAAAACTAGACAATAACCGGCACTCAGGGCCAATGAGCGGTGAGAGTTCTTTATCGTACGTGACAAAGGACCTCGGTTTTTAAGGTCTTATGACCAGTGACTTTCACTTCTAATGCCGGGTGCTTGGCGAAGGAACAGTCACTACCTACATGTATGTTTACGTCTTAGGTTTGAGGTGGCGAGGCGAACGAGCATCGAACCCGAGCCTCCCAATCACGAAGCAAACGACCTTCCACTAGGCTACCGAGGTTACCTTTTAAAACATCACCAGAGTTTAACTCATTAATATGAATAAAAGACCCTTCTGTTTGTTAAGCTCATGCAAAATTTAACATTAAATTGAAGTACATTTTTTAGTTGTACATGTAGTCTCATTTAAAGTTGTAATAAAATTAAAACATTTTCGCTGTTTTTGGCTGTAAATATAGCCCCCTCCTGTGAAACAACAAAAGCTTTTATATGAGTGTGCTAAGTAACCATTTATAATACCTGTAAGAAGGAATTTTTGTTTCACGGGAGGAGGGAGGATTTTTTTTTCCTTTTAATTTCTGTTTCCAATTGATTTCTATAAACTTTTAAGAAAAACTCAAATTTACCAAAGTTATAGAGTTACGTACCTCTATTTGCTTTCCCAAGTAAGCTATATTTTGTTAAAAAATTCGTATAAATATCTATATAAATGTGAAAAATCATACAAATGCTAATTTTTTGAAGATGACATGACAATACTATCGCTCGTAGTTCTTCAAAGTAGAAATAAAACAATACAGATAATAAATATACTCAGAAATTTACATGTATCTTGTGTATAAATTGTAACATTTCAGGAATACAATTTTTTATACGTCGCCCGCATGGTGCAGTTGTTAGAGGGTTTGCTCTTAAGTAAGGAGTTGATCCTTCGAATCCCACTGCGGGACGTAAAGATCAGTCCTTCGGATGAGACCGTATAAACCGAAGTCCTGGCAAGAAAAAGATCCCTGACTGCTCAAAGATTGTAAGTGCCGAGCAGGTCTAAATTAGCAGCCCTCCACCAGCAAGTGCTGGCGTCTCATTATGAGTGAAAAATTCTCGAAGGGACGTTAACCAAACAACAATTATTATACATTGAACTCAAGTAATAGATGACATCAGAGGTGTACAAGTCATCGTATTGATATGGTTGTTGTATATCTCTACATTTTGCTTGAGAAGGGGATTCACTGGGATATATATATATATATATATATATATATATATATATATATATATATATATATATATATATATATATATATATATATATATATATATATATATATAAACAATGGAGTATATGGCAATACACATATACAGCGAAGCCCTTAACTACCGTATTCTGCAATGTTTAATAATTTAATTCTGGTTGTAACGCCGTATTTGATTGGTTAAAAAATTACTTTATATCGTATAAATTGGGTTGCCTACGTCACAATGACTTGCGTCAAAAACGTATCGATCCGCCTGACGTTACATTCAAATTTTGTACAAATTGAAGTCCTTTTCAAGGGCAGTCATCTTTTTTTCTTACACTAAATGAATGAAAATTAAATTATAAGGAATGAAATTAATAGCTACCCAATTTATACGGTATAAACTGGGTTGGAACAGTTTACGCTTTTTTATAAACCGCTTCGCGGTTTATAAAGCGTAAACTGTCCCAACCCAGTTTATACCGTATAAAATGGGTAGCTATTAAATTCATTCCTTAATTAAAGCAAACGAAGCAGAACATGTAGACTATAATTTCTTATACAGAAATAATTTTAAATTATTACAAAATAATTTAATTCTGGTTGTAACGCTGTATTTGTTTGGATAAAAAATTTACTTTATATCGTATAAAATAGGTTGCTTACGTCACAATGACTTGCGTCAAAAACGTATCGATCCGCCTGACGTTACATTCAAATTTTGAACAAATTGTAGTCATTTTTAAGGACAATCATCTTTTTTTTCTAACACCAAATGAATGAAAATTAAATTATAAGGAATGAATTTAATAGCTACCCAATTTATACGGTATAAACTGGGTTGGAACAGTTTACGCTTTTTTATAAACCGCTTCGCGGTTTATAAAGCGTAAACTGTCCCAACCCAGTTTATACCGTATAAAATGGGTAGCTATTAAATTCATTCCTTAAATGTCAACATTGACTTATAATAAATAACATTCACTTATAGACAATGAAATATACATGCAAAGACATAATGCGTGTATCTGATCTAGAGTCTACCACTGTCTTAACAAAGTAAATGTAAAAATCTGTTTATATATCGAAATCAGATGGAAATAATTTAACTATTTTACATGTAGTTTTACATGCCTTTCTTTCAGACAATCTTAGTCGGAGACAGTGGGGTGGGAAAGACATCACTTCTTGTACAATTTGATCAGGGAAAGTTCCAGGCTGGGTCGTTTTCAGCAACTGTTGGAATAGGATTTACGGTAAGTTCAGATATCGTAAAGATTAATTTCAAATTAACGACTATACGTACAAGTCTTGTTCAACCATGCGCTTCTTCAAATTACAGTATCGACTTCAACCGTGCTCTTCTTGCTTGAGTATCTTAGCAAAGAGTTTGGTTGATGAAGATAACAAAAACCATCTGATCGTGACATTGGCAAAACATATGACAACCACACTTACATATGTACTACGGTTTGAATGCTTTAACTTAGTGTACAATGATGTGCCATCATGTTTCTGGATGACGTTTTCTTGTTGAAAACTTGATGGTAGATTTTGCAACTGTTTAATCTAAATCTTCTTGCAGTGGATAACATTTTGTTTTAAAAGGGAATATACATGTATTGCAATTATATAATCTATATTTTACTTTAATTATTGGAAACAAGCATTTGTAATACATATTTTATGCAACAGGAAATTGTTGCCTTTGGTTCATTTGAATATACTGGAAAAAAGCTTCAGTGTCGCTTTGATGCACCCAGTAGTCTTATACTTGCGGCATACAATTACGTACACCGATTGCAATTCTTCAAAGCATCGAAAGCTAGCCAAACAAACCTTTGCATTTTTAACAAGAGCAAATCAATCCAGAAAAATACCAATTTTATTTTTTTAGAAAATTGAGTTACTAGTCAGTGTTAACTTATTAAAGGACCTCATTTAAGCACTGGATATCTTGTAGAGATCGTTCCAATGCAGAGGTTTATTTGCTTTGTTGATCAACTCTAATATCAAACCAAACAGTCTCGGAGCAAGAGTTTTCATGATCAATTGTCGTTAATTTTTCATGCCAGTTTGATCGGAAAAGCTTTAAGCAAGCTCATATTGTCAGAAACTGTTGATCGATGTATCGATTTTTTTTTTTTTTTTGGTCTGCTGATACATGTTCACAGAGGAAAGATTATTGATGACACTGATGTAATTACTACTGTTGCTTTTAGTAGATGCTCTAATCTCTGTCGATATGGTGCTTAAAACGAATAATATTTCACGGCTAACTTGGGGTATTTCTGTAAAATTATATCTTTTAATTTGTGCTGTGCAAAAGTGGAATTCAGCTCCAAGAAAATGAAAATTGATTGATGAGATAAGTAACTGTATGATAAAATTACGATATTCACAATACGTCAGACACAAAAATAATTTTTGATTCCGCTATGATATTTGAATTCTTTGATTGGAGCTGTCTGGAAATGTTGACATTAAACTGGTTACGGAGAAGATGCAAATCACGCACTATAGTTCTTCAAATACTTTGTTTCCACATTAAATAATATAAAACATTTGACCATCTTTAAAGAATAAAAATTTGCAGTTGATAGTATACAATAACAATTCATTTTTCTCTACAGTATAAAGTTGTTTTTTTTTTACGGTTTTAAAAGCTCTTCATATATTTGGGCTGGAAAAATGGTTTATCTCAACAGCTGTAGAGATCTTAAAATTTGGTATATATATATACATGTAACCTGTACACAAGTTCATCAAAGACTTACTGATCACCATGATCTCGAAATATTTCACCTTTATGACATCGTCACATAACCTGAAAGCAGTTTTTAATTTTTTCGGTGCTCTGCAACAAATTTTAATGACTTTCTGATATTCATTTTGGTACTTTAGAAAACACTTTAGAGAGAATAATTTCAGTACTTGAAATTAGCAAAATTCCTACAAAGACATTAAAAGTGAAAGTCTCTTGGACATGACATTAAAAACGAAGGTCCTGTGTCACGTTAGGCGTTGGTACGATATAAAGAATCCTCATGCTCGATGGCCCTGAGTGTCGAGCATATACACTGTATAGATCTAAATTTGAAGCCCCTCACCGGTATTTGGTGACGTGTTGTACGAGTGAAAAATTAACGCAAGGGATGCAAAACAACAAAGAATCAATCATGCAATACTAAGTCCTTGACCCTTAAGACATATGTCTTTAGATCAAGCTCATGGCTCATCAATAAATTAAGTACAACCATTTTTCATTTTAGTAGGGCATATTTAAATTATTTGTGGAGCATACTTAATGGGGCTAATTTGGTAATACTTTGAAAATACATTACATCTTTGAAAATCTTATTTACTCCAGGAAATCTGTTTGCATGATAATACAATCTACGTCGTTTGGCAAAATTGCAAAATACATGCCCCTGGTCTAGAGTTTAAACCCCAGTGTGAGGCTAAATTAGTGGTTATACGAGGGTTGTTCAATAAATAATGCAAAAGGTCATCTAAAAATATAGCAAAAGCATGTAAAGCAGATTCTTAATACTTTCAATCCCTCAAAGCATTCCCTGTTAACATTTACACATGTCTAAAGTCTTTGTACCCATGACCAGAAAACCTCAGCACACTCATCTTTTTCGGATGCCCTAAAGACACTGATGAATAGCACTTTCCATGATATATCTGAAATTCTAAAATTTTCCTTTGATTGCTTTCATATGTTTTTTGGAAGAAAAAGATCTTACAGTGGCTGAGATCTAGCTAATATGGGGGATGCCCAAGCTCTGTAGACTTTCCTTTCTTCAAATTTTATTCATTTTTCTATGCGTATTTACAGGAGCGTTTTCAGGTGCAGAAAAAAATACTCCGGGGACCGGTATTTGGGCTTGCTTTGCAGGAAATCAGTTTAACTTTCCTGGGTGAAATTTTAACATAAAAGTAACCATTGATAGTCCTTTCTTTGGCTGTATGTACATGTTTTACTGGACCTCTTGAATAAAAAGAAAATTAATAAAACATATTTGGAGCCCTTGCTTCTCTTTGCAATAATAGGACGACAGCTTTGTCTTTGATACCACATTTATTGTTGATCTTCCTTTTCGGCTATAAAAAGTACACTGATGTTTCGTCATCTATCACTCAAGTTTATCAAATCTTCTTTTTTGTAAAAATGTTTATTTTTAAATAGACCATTGGCACATTTAATGTGTGTTTTCTCTTAGGCATTTGTAAAGAAATAAAGCACCCATCTGATAGAATTATTGTTAGGTTTATTTCATTTGTCAGAACTCTATAAACTGTTAGGACGATGAAATGTTTTAATTGTGTTTTAGCAAAGTCTATCAATGGAAATTTAGCATTTTCAGATATCATGTTGCTCACAGCATCCTTATTTTTTGGAGCCCCTACCGGTTTCGATCGACCAATTTGACTGCGATCTTTTAATTGCAATTTTTTTCTTTTAAATTTCCGAATCCATCTGAAAACTATACAGCTTGAAAGACTAGTCTTTCCACATATAAAAATCATATCTTTAATATGGGTTATTCAGCTATTTGTGTAATGAAGCAAAGTTTTCACATACGCCCTCATTTTCATCTTTTTGGCGGAGATCATTTTTAAGCAGTTTTCAGCTCAGTGTAGTGACCATGCTTACTTTAAAAGTGAATTCCTTTGCGACAACAATAGGAAAAAGCATGGGGTTTTCTGTGATTAGTTCTTTAATAGAACTTTTCAACTGTTCAAAAATAAAATTAAATACTTCTACATTTATTATGATAAACTGCATGTTTCATTACTTATTGAATGACCCTCGTACATTGAAAATATGAAACAACTTTGAAAATATTGTTCATTTCTTGTGGACATCAAGCAGGCAAATTGTTCTGGTAATTTTAATGAGCAGCTCACCCTCTACAAATATTAATATGAAATTCATTTGCATCGAATGCAGAGAGTATGTACTTCTAACCCCCCAAAATCAAAACAATTAATTACTGTAATTTGTGTTTATAAGTATTGAATCTATCTTCTCTGTGTCCGCTAATTACAGAGGGATATTCCACAGACTATATAATTGACACCTGTAATATACACATCCATTTACTAATCGTTAACTGTCATTGGATTTCCATAAAAATCAGCTTGGTCTCTTGATTATGATATACAGCACCCCAGTTATTTCCTGTCGCTGAGATGTCGCTGGGATAGGTTGTATCTCCTGGTTGACATTATTTAATTAAGCCTGTGATAGGTATGACAGACTGGAAGTTTTTGTCTGGATATATAGGTCTAAGACGTGCGGAAACATAAGCGTATACTTGCAAATGATTATTTTCCTGTGAAATATGAAATATTCCTAAATTCAAAGTATATTTTCATGTCGATCTATCGAGAGAGAGAGAGGGAGGGGGGGGTTCTTTCTATGTTTAAGATTTGATGTTTAAGATGAAAGATTTTTAGAACAACTATCAATACCTCGATCTTGGCTATGATAAAATCATTTTGAAGTTATGATGATTGAAACTGTTTTAGTATACAAGCTATAGAAAACACACACACAAAATTGTTAATACATGTATATTTAAGGGTGTTTCTTGAATGACTGGTTATCTTTTTCTCAAAAGAATGTTTAAAAATGCAGCATTTCCAAAGGAGCTGTAATCTCACAGTTTATGGGAAATGTTTGACTTACTCGTACATTGTAGGTGGTTTTTGATATTAATTATCGATGTTAGCACTATTTGCACTTGGATTTCTTCTAGTGACTTTTTCATACTAATCTTTAGGCCATTATTTACACAGTGAATTTTCGACGGATTTTTCCGTTATTTCCCGATCATGACAAGGAGCACACGGCGGGTGTGACCGGTCGGCAGGGGATGCTCACTCCTCCATGGCACCTGATCCCACCTCTGATGTTTTTAGAGGTCCGTGTTTGCTCTGCTCCCGATTTGTATTGTTTTCATGGACTTTGAGCTTGAAAATTGTTCGTTATCTCCATATTTCATGATTCCAGTTATGAAACTTTATTTGTAGTATTAAGCGTAAAAAGAGTATTTTGTGACAGTAGTTCCGATGTTCTAAAATACATTACTAGATATAGCGCATGCAATTGGATATAAGTAACCATCAGCAGGAAACCGGAGCGTATATGTGAGTAATTCTGAAGTCGTGATGTTTCATGCTTTTCACACATATTGGAAAGAATAGGAAAGTATTCGGGGCGCCGTCCATGACGTTCTTAGAG